TATTTATTTTCATAGATATTGCAATAAAAAAGGAGTTGTCCAAAACGTATGTACCTTTTTTATGAGAACAATTGTTTACCGTCATTTCAATTGTACCATAAAAGGTAAAGAACAGCATCATAAGAGGTCTGTAAGGTACACATTTTACAAAGGTATAAAACTGTTGCTCAAGGAACATTATTTGTACTACCGTGTACTTTTTTTCTGAGAGTGTAGGATTATGGATATTTAACAAAATCATGCAGAGTGTGTAGTTTATAATTAATAATACACTCAAAAAAATCAACTAGGCATGTATTGGATTTACAAAATAAAAATTTGTCAGATTGAAAAGAACAAATCAAGTTTACGTATGTTAAATGATTAATTCATGTTATTTGAAACTGAATCAAGAAATAATCAAAAAAATTTGATCAGAACATGTTGATTCAATGAGACTGAGACTCTTCAAATCGACAACTCTCACTCTGGAGAGTCACTTCGCACATATCAGTAGGTGGCGGTAGTGTGTTTGGATGTCACCATACGAAAACAACAAGAAGTATCACCGCGTGTTTTCGGCACAGTTTGGGAATTGGTTTTCCCAAGAGCTTGAATGTTATGCATGTTATGTTGTTGGCTAAATGTTTCTCATTCATTTTATATTACATATTACAATTTTGGATATTATATAACATTTTGTATCAGAATATTAAAGAAGAAATTTGTTTAAATGTGATTGGTGCCTGCTAAAGGCTATAATAAAAGAAATATATATATATATATATATATATATAAAACACGTTTTCTGTCCTTTTTGTGTTGAATTACTTAATTTTAAATCTTGCTTCATAGTTTTGTCATTTAAAAAATGTAATTTAAACAACAGGGCGAGGCAGTGGCGCAGTGGGTAGCACATTCGCCTCACAGCAAGAAGGTTGCTGGGTCGCTGGTTCGAACCTTGGCTCAGTTGGCGTTTCTGTGTGGAGTTTGCATGTTCTCCCTGCCTTCGTGTGGGTTTCCTCCGGGTGCTCCGGTTTCCCCCAAAGACATGTGGTACAGGTGAATTGGGTAAGCTAAATTGTCCGTAGTGTATGAGGGTGTGTGTGAATGTTTCCCAGATGGGTTGCGGCTGGAAGGGCATCCGCTGCGTAAAAAAAACTTGCTGGATAAGTTGGCGGTTCATTCCGCTGTGGTGACCCCGGATTAATAAAGGGACTAAGCTGATAAGAAAATGAATGAATTTAAATAACAATATTGCTGATTACTAACTGATTTAACAAGACATAATTTTGTTAAAGTAAAGCTTTAGTGTTACATTGAGTAAATTAGAATCATTTTAATTAGAATAACACAATACAAACATTTTGAGTCAATTAGTTGCAAAGAAGTTAGACTGACATATTGAAACCATGTTTTATCTACAAATGTGCTTTGTGTTCATACAACATGTTCAAAGCAGTTCAGGTTTACTTGATTGGATTAGATGCATAAAGGGTGCCACGATTAAATCATGTTCATTCAACAATTTTTTTGAATGTATGCAGTAACCAATATCTCAATAACTTGCATGCTAATAAGTAGGGCCAGATGAAATTTGCGGACGTTTTTTGCTATTTCTGCTGAGAATTTTGGTAAAAGTCTGTGGAATTCTGCAGAATTATTTTGGGAATATCATAACTAAATCTTAATATATGAAATAAAAAATAATATCCTTTTAACTTTTATTTAATGTTTAAAATGCAAATTCAATTAGATTCACTTTATCTGGTAAAAAAAGCTAGTTTGTTATTTAATATGTCTAGTAAAACACAGAAAATATTACTGTACAAACTGCATTGTACAAAAATCAGATGAACATTTTCACATTAGTCAATAATATTACTGACATTAGTTAAAAAACTGAATGAATATAGATATACACACATCTACTCAAGTAAATAAACAGAATTAATGATGGGCTAAAAATCTGCAGATTTCGGATGGGCCTACTAATAAGCAACAAGTTAAAGTGAGAATTGGTCTCTAAAGTGTTATCAATGAAGATGATTCTGTGGGGGAGTGAATCATGCATTAAACTGTATAAACAAATACCAAGCATATGATAAATGCAATGAAGCAAAAATGAAAGTTAAATGAACAGTCGATGCTTTGTGGTTTTGTAAAAGTAAATGTAGAAATTACACTGCAAATTCTTTACTGTATATAAATCAATAAAAGTATTCTTTATTAAACTTTCATTCATTCATTTTCTTTTCGGCTTAGTCACTTTATTAATCAGGGGTCGCCACAACAGAATGAACCAGCATTTGTTTTACACAGCGGATGCCCTTCCAGCCATAACCCATCACTGGGGAACACCCATACACACTCAATCAGACACATACACTATGGCCAATTTAGTTCGCCCAATTCACCTATAGCGCATGTATTTGGACTGTGGGGGGAAACCGGAGCACCCAGAGGAAACCCACACGAACACAGGGAGAACATGCAAACTCCACACATCAATGCCAACTGACCCAGCCAAGGCTCGAATCAGCGAACTTCCTACTATAAGACTGTGCTCGCCACTTCACCACCGTGTTGCCCTATTAAACTTTCAATTAAAGTCAATTTTTAATCTCTCTCAGTCCTTAAAAACATGTAAATTATACAAAATTCACTCCATTGTGGTTAAACTCTGCATCAACATTGAAGTAACAATCCCAACTCAACGCGGCATATCTATGCGATGTGACTATTGCAGATGAACACATTGTGACGTTGTTGGTGAAACAATATATTGTTCAGCCTTATTCAGGTTATATTGGATTAACTCAATATTTTAAGTTAAGTGGTTTCAAGCAATGTATATAGGCTGAATTTAAACAAACGAATGAAGTTGAACATTACTCAGTTTAATGTTTATGTTGAAATTAAGCCAATATAAATGGTTTGCAACCACTCACCTTAAAAAAAAACTGAGTAAATACAATGAATCGTAGGCATTTCAGCCCTAAAAACAAGCATCAAAACATTATATTGTTAAATATATACAGTATACTATATATAAATATCCACATTTGAAATAATTATTAGCTGTTACATCCTAAAAGAGGTTTTGCGGTAAAAATATGTTTAATAAAGAACCATAGTGAAGTCCACCTTATTCAGTAGGTTGTTGTCTCAGAAAAATGAACAGCATCATGATAAAATAAACACTTGTTTAACGGGATAGTCCACCTAAAAAATAACTATTTGGTCGCCCTCAGGTGGAATAAAAACCTTTCTGAGTTTCTTTCTTCCTTTAAAAAGAAAAGAAGATATTTTGAAGAAAGCTGAAAACCTGTAACCACTGACTTCCATAGTAGAAAAGACAAATACTATGGAAGTCAGTGGTTACAGGTTTTCAGGATTTCAGCTTCATCTTCTTTTGTGTTTGAGAGAGGAACGGAACTCATAAAGGCTTGAAACAAGTAAAGGGTACATAAATTATGACAGAATTTTCATTTTTAGGTGAGCCTACCCTAATTTAGTTTAAAATATGGCAATTTCGCAGCATATTAAGTTATTATACATTGAATGTTTATTACATGTGTATTAACTATAATTGATCATCATGCACAGAACATTAACCAACTAAACAATCATGTTCCTTTTGCTCTGCACTTCCTCCTGACATATTGAGATCATCTGTCTAATGCGTTTATGTGGTGTGTGCATGCGCGCGCACATGGCCGCGTGTGCACGAAAAATACGATGTAGCCCCTATGTATGTAAATGTAAAATAAAAAATACATATATATATATAATATATAAATGTAAACGTAGGTGGAAAGCAGCTTTGAAATCTGTTGCAGTGCACAAGATGAGCTCAAAAAAGAGAGGAGAGGGAGAGAAAGAGGGTGTATATGCCACACCTCACTCATTCAGAAACACAGCAGTTCCCTTCAGCTCTCCCACTGTACGACATAATCACATGCTCTGCGAGATTTACAACTGCAGACTAAAGCTTTAGTTTATTTACACAGCATATGTGCTGCCATATATAGTCCAAACGCAACGCAAAAGCCACAGTGCGTGCGAGTGCTGCGCCGCGTCTCCAAAATAACCAGCGCTTCAGCGAACAATAGTAAACACACGAGTGCTAGACGTGTCCGAGTCACTGGAGCGAATCGGTTCAGTTGAATTGTTTATTTCAGTAGCTTAAATGAATGATTCAGTAATCCGTATTAATAGTTTGATACATATTAGCCGTATCATATCTGCTTGCGTGTTTAATTTTTTGGTCAAAAAATACTATTATATTGTTATTACAATTCAATGGTTATTTTAAAATACAAATCTGAAAAATTAAGTTTAACTTACGCCATATCATCTAGAAGCCCTACATACAAAAACATACATTTTTCATACATATTTAATATTAAAAGATCAATTAACTAACTACACATCTCTACACATATCTCTGATAACTCGATTCGCTTCGACCAGTTCATCCTCTGAGGAACCGATTCGATCAAATGATTCATTTTCGAATCGGACATCGCTAACGCACTCAGTACACATAACCACGATCCCAGTCAGTGTTTAAAAATTATGATGAAACTATTACGACAATCAGACTAAAAAACAAAACATTTGCTTCGAAAATCTTCCAAAATCATCCATTTTTTCACCCAACGCGAAGCCCAAAATGACCTACATTCTCCCTTCAGACAGACTTTGAATTTCCTTGATCCAGTCAGTGTGAACAGATTTTTCCCCTAAATCCATTCGTGTCATCTGATTTCACATATAACGAGTCGTGTGTATTAATCTAGTAAACAAAAGAAAAACTGCTCAATCTTTTGTTGGTTCTCCAGTTTAATCTTAATCCGATTTGAATCTCGCTCTCCGTCCGAACAGCACTGCGCGCACAATGGAGAACGAATCTAAACTCTGTTAATAATCTCCCGAACAAGCTTCTTGTTGCGCACAAACACATGTCCGATGAATGGACGAGCCTGCAGAAGAACAACAGAAACAGCTGCACCCACCTCGTGGTTTGAAAGGACGCCGGTCCGGTCCGGGGGGTGTGGACCGGTGCTGTCCGGCGTTGGAGCTCCAGCACGGGCTGCGGAATGGAGGAGCTGTCGTTCCGGATGGTTCAGACGGGCTGGACAGGTGTGGGGGGTGATGTTTGGGCTGTGTGTCTGTGCTGGATGCTGTCAGGATAGGGACCAGCTTAATCCTCCATCTGAACGCAGACAGCCTCTCCTCGGCCACTCCACCCCTCCCTCATCCCTGCTCGGTCCGATTCGCAAAAGATTTGTTCTTTTAAAGGGCTCTGAGTTGATTCAATAGAACCGATTCGCAGCGGCCAAGAGGAGACTATTCGTAAATCACTGTTTACGCAGAACATTTGACTATTTGTGTATATGGAAAACATTATTTACATAATTGTTTGATAAAAGTCAATACAAAGAACATAATATTTAATGAAATATATGGATTTAAATTATTATTACTATAATTAAGTCGATGATACCAATAAATGAGCAAAATAATAATAACAATATTATTATTATTATTATTATTATTATTATTATTATTATTATTATTATTATTAGTAGTAGTAGTAGTAGTAGTAGTAGTAGTAGTAGTAGTAGAAGTAGTAGTAGTAGTAATTGTATAATTAAAGATTATAATTAATAAGTATTATTAATATTAATTACCAATAAATTAGCATAATAATACCAACATTATTATTATCATTTTTATTATCATTTATAATAATAATAATAATTATTATTATTAATTATTATTATTAATTATCAATAAATAATAATAATAATGTTATTATTGTTATTATTTTGCTAATTTATTGGTAATTATTTGTAATAATAATAATTAATAAAAATTATTATTTATAATAATAGTTAATACTACTACTATGACTAATAATAATAATAATAATAATAATAATAATAATAATGTTATTATTATTACAATTCTCATTTATTGGTAATTAATAATGATTATACTTTAATAATAATAATAATAATAATAATAATAATAATAATAATAATAATAATAATAATAATAATTACAGCACGTGTGCTATGATGAGTGAAAAGCTTAGTTGTGTATTATTATAAAGTATTATTATGGGTTATTCTGAACCATGTGTAAAATCGGTCACTTTTTAAATATAATTTGACACTTGATAATTTAATTTACCCCACTTACTGGATAAACCAAAATCTTATTTAATCTTTGGATGAATGCAGCACCTACCATTGCTGATATCCTCTTAAATAAAACTCATTCACTCACATTTATAAGAGCATACTTGCTTTAGAGAGAGAGAAAGTGATTCTACAGGTGGTTTTTCAAGCCCACTCGCCTGTGTGAGGCACGTTTTATATATACAGTGTTATTTTTTAAAGAATGAGTCTGCAAATGTTCAAAACTGGTGCAAGTGTCAGTTAAAGTGTGAAAGAGATGAAAGAGAGTGTTTTTCACAGGTGGTTTGTCAAGCCCACTCACGTGAGGCACACTCAGTTTGGGGTTGTCGTGTGATGACAAACATTTTTCAGTCATAAAACACTTGGTAACTTTAAATGTTTCATTCATTTTTATTTATTTTTATTAGAATTACTACTACAATGTCTACTGCCACTGCTACAACTACTTCAACAACTACAACTACTACAATTACTTCTACTACAATGACTGCTACTATTACTACAAAAACAACCTGAATAATAATAATGGTACAATAATGGACAGTACTATTAATAATGATATAATAAAGTAGTAATAGTGCTAAACTCATGTTGATGGTAATAATAATAAAAAACAACAACACCATTAATAACAATTTTGAGGAGGTGGTAGTTATAAGATCAGACTTAAAGTGTATTATAGTATATATTAAATAATAATAATATATTAAATTAATATATTAGTATATGAAGTATGTATTAAAGTGTATATTTCAGATTTTGCACTGAAATTGACAACTGAACAACAGTGTTATGACAGATGATATAAGTTGATATCCGATTTAAGGAGTTATGCATTCTAAAAAGGTTGCTAATCTAAATTAAATAATAATACAAGAAAAAAGTAATTATCAAACCTATATTACAGTTTTAAAAAGTATTTGTATAGCAGTATAACAATATTCATTCATTCATTCATTCATTTATTTTCTTTTCGGCTTCGTGCCTTTTATTAATCTGGGGTCACCACAGTGGAATGAACCACCAAGCAGTGCAACAATATACAAATATAAAATTATATTTTCAGGCATGTTTAGAACGAGATTCATTTAATAAAATATATTTAAAAAAATCTATTTAAGGATCAAAGTGTAGCTACAAAATACAAAATAACACATTTTAAAGCATAATACGTTCACCTTTGTTTATTTTTATTTTTAGGCGAACACTGCACAGTGAAGTCCCAAACGAATCGGATCAATTTGAAACGATCAGTACGAACGAACCGATTCTCTCAAATGAATCAGTTTCTCTCATCCCTCAATCCGACGCCTTCAGTTCCTCTCTCTCTCTCTCTCTCTCTCTCTCTCTCTCTCTCTCTCTCTCTCTCTCTTCGTCTGTCCCACTGGGGTCCTCCTGCAAGGTCAGTCATGGCGAAACACACGGAAATTAAACGCCTGGAAGAAAACTGAACAACTGCAAATACACAGACAGACAACATATGGTAGACAGACGGATAGATAGATAGATAGATAGATAGATAGATAGATAGATAGATAGATAGATAGATAGATAGATAGATAGATAGATAGATAGATAGATAGATAGATAGATAGATGGATGGATGGATGGATGGATGGATGGATGGATGGATGGATGGATGGACAGAGAGAGAGTCAGAAAAATAGACAGATAGACAGACAGACAGACAGACAGACAGACAGACAGACAGATAGATAGATAGATAGATAGATAGATAGATAGATAGATAGATAGATAGATAGATAGATAGATAGATAGATAGATAGATAGATATAGTAATGCAGTATGACGTATGTCAAATAATCAGTACCATGTTATTTATTGAGCAACACACACTACACCATTAAGACTAGTGTGTCTTAATGTACACATTTTCACTGTTATATATATGCTACATTGCAGAATTTCATTCATACAGCAGCACACTGCTCATTTCATATCACTGAAAAGCCTTGTCGGTCCTCCATACATGGGCAGATATTACAACCCGGAAGTCTGTCGTCAGCGCACATGACCGGAACCCGATCACATGACCAGTGTTTTCAAAGAAAACTTGCACCCATTCACCCAACCCGCTCGTGGCTGAGATCCTGCGTTTTATTACAGTAAGTGAACGATTTTATTACTCATTATACATGCAGAATCACTGCTCGACGTCTTCGAGTGTTTATGAACGCGGCAGGCTGTAAATAATGCAGTTCCGTTTCATGTTATTTGATGTCAGCTCATAAACAAACAGTGAGATGATTGTATGTGATTATGTGCTGTAACGTTACGTGTTATTTGAGCATATTTATTAAAGTAAATGTGCATTTTCTGCTCCTTTCTGGATTTGGCATGGTCAGAGTTGTTCAATAAAGTATTGGCATGTCTTTATTTTTAGTCTTCAGGCTGCACGGTGTCCTGCTATCAGTGAAAAGTCATGAGACTTGTGATTCTGGATGACTATGATCTGGCCAGCGAATGGGCTGCAAAGTACATCCGCAACCGGATCATCCAGTTCAAACCCAGTGCTGACCGCTACTTCACTTTAGGACTTCCAACAGGTAAATTGAACGTGTAAAGTCAGCATTTTACCCTGCTTTGTTAGGAAAGTGAACACGAAAGCTACATTTACTTTACAAATACACTTTATTTTGCTTTTTAAGGCATCCCAAATAAAAAAAAACATACTTTTTTTTCTAGTATTTACTATAATAATTTCAAATATTTACTATGATCATTTAAAGTAAACATTAGAATGTTTTTGAACAATATTAGATTACAGTACTTGAATTAATCTGTTGTGGAAATTTTATTATACAATAGTTTTCTACAACTACTTTATATATATTACAGTACACCACAGTTTACTGTAGTAAAAACTAAAGTATACGACAGGATTTATTATGGTTTATCAGTTCACTTTAGTTAATACTACAGTATTCCTTATCATTCATTGAAAAAAAGAGTTGTAAATACTTTACACAGTATACTACACTTTACTATGGTGTAAAAGTACTATAGTATTTTTTCATGTGGTATTGCTTCATGCGGTAATATTTCCTTAAAATTCACAATCCTTTTTATTACTGATGTATAAAATTAGCCACTATTGCATGCTGAAATGACTTAAATTTTGTTACTTCTTAAGGATTCTGAATATTATCTTACATGTGATTGTTTTCAGGTAGCACACCTCTTGGCTGCTATAGGAAACTGATTGAGTATCACAAAAGCGGAGACCTGTCCTTTAAATATGTGAAGACCTTTAACATGGACGAGTATGTGGGTGAGTGTGAATCAGTCTGAAGCTTCTCATGGGAAGTGCTGAGGGAAGTATAGAGTCTCTGTGATTGTGACACGCATAAGACAATGCTGAAAACATTTACACTCCTGAGCTTTGTAGTCTAACTCTAAAAACATGTAATAATAATAATAATACATTTTTTTTGACATTTTTATGATGTTAAAAATATGTCTCCCTCCAAAACCTGATTATCGTTAAGGTAATTACTCAATTCAACACAGTTATAAAGTTGTTCTCATGAGATCTCTTTGCTTTAATTTAGTGTTTTTACTTAAGTTCAATTACTTGATGAAAACTGCAATTACTGAACCCAATAATGTTTATTGAATATATTATTATGAGACAAAAAACTATTCAATTTTAGATTAAAGTTCAAAAAGTGACGCAAAAATGAACAGAAAAATATCAGCTGTATGGATAATTTTTTGTTTGCAGGTTGCTGAACGATAAAATAAAATAATATAAAATATTAAATAAAATATGAAATATAAAATAACATAAAAATACATAAAGTAAAATAAAAAAAAATCTCATAAAAAACCTAAAACTAAAATAAACTATAAATAAATTAATAAATGTAAAAAATCTGATTTAAAATAAAACATAAAATAAACTATAAAATATAAGAAAATATATAGAACATAAAACATATCAACTAAACTGTAAAATATAATATAAAAACATTTTAAATAAAATAAAATATAGAATAAAAAAAAATCAAACTGTAAAATATAATATAAAAACATTTTAAATAAAATATTAAATATAGAATATTAAAAAAATCAAATGAACTGAAAAATATAAAATAATTTTTTTTAAATAAAATAAAAATATAAAGTATAAAACATATAAAATAAACTGTAAAATATAAAATAAAACATTTAAAATAAAATAAAAAATATCGAATACAAAAAATATTAAATAAAAACATTTAAAATAAAAGAAAATATAGAATATAAGAAATATCAAATAAACTGAAAAATATAAAATAATTTTTAAAAATAAAATAAAAATATAAAAAATATCAAATAAACTAATTCAAATAAAATAAAATATACATTCAAATGAGAAAATCAGATTAGACCATTAGCATCTCACAAAAAAAGAATAATTTACTTTTAGTCTTTGAACACGATGTAACTACAGAACAGACAAGCTTTAAATAGGAAAATTATAGAAACCTCTTTTATTTATTTTTAGAGAGAGATGCTAATGGTCTAATCCGATTCAATGGTGCTAAAAGTGTCCCACCGGACTTGCAGATCAGCTGAATGGTTTAAAAAATGGTAAAACTCAACAGTTTAACTCTAGCCTATTTCCAAAAAAAAAAGAATGTTTTTTTTTTTACTTGTGACAATTAATTCTTGCTTATTTTGCTCTTTTCTTTAGGTCTGCCCAGAGATCATCCAGAGAGCTATCACTCCTACATGTGGAATAACTTCTTCAAGCACATCGACATTGAACCCCAAAACACTCATATACTGGACGGCAACGCCAGCAACCTGCAGACCGAGTGCGAGTCCTTCGAGCAGAAGATTAGTGCTGCTGGAGGCATCGAGCTCTTTGTGGGAGGTAGGTTCAATAAATTTGACCCCAAATTTTGGTTTATCAGACAACAGAATAATCAAGAGACGTTTGTAACAGTGCGTGGTGATGCATATCTTCATTTGTACACACAACACTGTCTTTCTAAGCAGTTTCGCTGGTGCAATAACACCTTTTGTCAATAAGAGAGATTCCAAAAGCTTAAATGGTGATTGAATACTCAACTCCAAACTCAAAGGTCGGTTTTTGTCTGCATAGTCGAGTCTTAAGCTGTTAGCAAAGATTGATTATATCTTTATCAGTGAGTCTGGTCCAATTTAGCAATATTATTTTAAAGGGGACCTATTATGCAAATTTTTTTATGAGGAGTTTTAATTAAGCACAGTTGTGTGGAAACAGTTTGTTAATATAACCAGCTTCTAATGGTGAAAATTCATTAATTGTTATTTTTATAATCACACTTGATATAAACAGTCTGCAGAAACACTTTGATTGACATTCCTCTTTTGTGCGTGTCATCAGAGAGGGAAAGCCCCACCCACTAGGGATGATCTTGTCCTCACTGGCATAGTGTGTTCATCTTCTCTTTGAATCTGCCACTATGCTGACACACAGGCATTTGTAGCTCCGCCCTCTTTTAAAAAGAGCACAGTCTCATTCGAATTTAAAGCGACGCAATTAGAATCAAAGTCTAAAAGGGTCAGTTTTAAGAGAGTTGTAAACCATCATTTGTGTGGTATTTTGAGCTGAGACTTCACTTACGCACTCTTGGGACGTCAGAGACTTATTTTACATCTTGTAAACAGGGGCATAATGGGACCCTTTTTAATGAGTTGTCATTTGTTTATTTTAATTTAAGTATGTTTTTTTTTTTTAAATGTGCTTTTTGAAATTGTTAAAGTTATTTATGTTGCATGTTATATTAGTTAAAGGATGAATTGTTAGCCCTCATGTAAAACTTACATTTTCAAATATTTTCCAAGCGATGTTTGTCAGATCAAGGACATTTGTCTTGCATTACTCTTTTTTTTTTTTTTTTTTTTTCTGCAAATTTTTTATTTTATTTTAGTTCGGCTGAATTGAAAACAGTTGAAATATATATATATATATATATATATATTTTTTTTTTTTTTTTTTATATTTTTATTTTTTAATCATTTTTATTTTTTATTTTTATTTTATTTTTCATTACATTTTTTATTAGCTATGTTTTATCTTTTTATATTTTATTTATATAATTTTTTTATTTTTTATTAGATGTTTTTTATTTTAATTTTTTATTTATCATTTATTTTTATAATTTGTATTTATTTTATTTCCTATAGTATTTTATTTTTCATAATTTTTATTTATTTATCTATTTTTTTATTATTGTATTATTTTCTATTTTATTTTTTGCTAGCTTTTTTTTCGTTTACTTTTGTTTATATATATATATACATATTGTTTTTTAGATTTAATTAAAAAAATTTTTGTATCATTTGTATTTTTTTATTATTTAATTATTTTATTTCCCAGTCAGTCACCTCCTCAGCATGAGCGTTATATATATATATATATATATATATATATTGAAATATAAAATATTATTATATGTATATACTTTTTTTTTAAGGTCAATATTGTTAGCACCTTAAGTAACTTGCCTGATCATAAATAACATAGCGAATTTAGCTTTAAGCTGAATGTTTTGCAAAACTGGTTAAATATATGGTACATTCATCATGGCAAAGAGAATAAGTGAGTTATTAAAAATATTATGTTAAAAACGTTGAAAAAATGGTTTCTCTTCACTGAACAGCACTTCAAAATAATTAATTACTTAATAACTTGTAATATTTTTGCCTTTAACTGTATGTTTTGCATGTAATATTTTATTTATCACAATTTTATTCCAATTAAGTATGCATTTTTAATAATTTTAGGTTCGCTTAATAATAAAACACTGATTCAAATGAAAAGGCTATAGGCTAAATAATAGAAAATAACTTTTACAGTTCTATAAGTTTTAAATATATTGTAAATTATTTTTCATTTTACTACAAAAATATATTCCTTGACATAATGTATATAATGCATTCTGCAACCCGAATTTTTATTACTGTTCTAAAAAATATATAAAATACACACACACACACACACACACACACACACACACACACACACACACACACACACACACACACACACACACACACACACACACACACACACACACACACACACACACACACACACACACACACACAAATATACAGTTGGGGTGGCATAGAGGGTTAGTGGTCAACACTTGCACCTCACAGAAAGAAGGTTGCTGGTCCAAGTCCCGGCTGGGCCAGTTGGCATTTCTGTGTGGAGTTTGCATGCTCTCTTCGTGTTGGCATGGGTATCCTCTGGGTGCTCCGGTTTCCTCCACAGTCCAAACACATGCGCTATAAGTGAATTGGGTGAACTAAATTGACCGTAGGGTTTGTGTTTGTGTTTGTGTGTGTTTGTGTGTGTTTGTGTGTGTTTGTTTGTGTGTGTGTGTGTGTGTGTGTATATTTTACAGTACTGGGTTGCAGCAGGAAGAGCATGTTTATAAAACATATGCAGGAATAGTTGGTGGTTCATTTCGCTGTGGCGACCACTGATAAATGAGGAACTAAGCCTAAGGAAAATTAATGAATAAATATATTTAATAAATTTTTCATTTGTTCTGTGATTTGCATTTCTTGCTTTGCTGCCCAAGTACTATTATATTTAGAATCATCACACATTTGTTTCTGTTCCTCATCTTTATAAATCACTATTTTTTTTTAGGCATTGGTCCAGATGGGCACATCGCCTTTAATGAGCCTGGCTCCAGTCTCGTGTCCAGGACCCGAGTGAAGACGCTGGCCAAGGACACTATAGTAGCCAATGCACGCTTCTTTGGAAACGATCTTTCCAAAGTGCCCACCATGACTCTAACAGTTGGAGTAGGAACAGTGATGGATGCCAGAGAGGTAAATAAAAGTATAGCTGATCATCTTAAGTTCAGGTATTAAGGAACGAAAACGTCTATTTACTTTATTTATATAACATTTAATTTATAGCTAGTTTCTTTTTTATTTTTCAAATACGCTCCAGTTTTGGTTCTTGCAACACATTTAAAAAAAGTAAAGTATTTAACACTTTGTAATGTTGCTAAACCTTTTCACAACACTTAAAAGATGTTTAGGGACTGAAGACACTAAGTAATGAAGTGTTTCAGCTGTAGTTTTGTCCCATTCTTTCTTAAAACAAGTCTTAAGGTGGGCAAATGTACAGGGTCTTTGTTGTTGCTTCTTTTGTGCTTTAAAATGCACCACACATTCTCTATTGGAGACATGTCAGGACTGCAGGTAGGCCAGTCAAGTACCTGTATCCTCTACCTCTACAGCCATGACTTTGTAATGTGTGCAGAATGTAGTTTTGCATTATATTGTTGAAACACACATGGGCTTCCCTGGAAAAGAAGGCAGCATATTGTGCTACAAAATCTCTACCTGTATTCAGCAGTAAGAGTGCCATCACAGAAGTGCAAGTTACCTTTGCCAAGGGTCACTGACACAACCACATGGAATGACATACCCTGGCTTTTGGATTTGTTGCTGGTAACTTTTCCTCTTTGGTCTGAAGCACACAGCATCCACTTCTCCCAAAAATACCTGAAATACTGATTCATCTGACCACAGTACATGTTTCCACTGTGTGATGGGCCACCCCAGACCCCTTCCGAGCCCAGAGATGTCAACGGCACTTCTGGACACTGTTAACATAGGGCTTCTTTTTACCACAGTACGGTTTTATTCACTATTGTTTTCTCTCTTTGTCTACATTGTTATCCCTGAAGTTGTCTTAATTAGAAATTCCTAAATAAAATAAATAAATAAATAAAATATATTTTTGTTGCATAACTTGTGTAGCATATAAACCCTAAAATACACATATATTAGTTTCTGATAAACTGGTTTTCATATCAGCTGTTTAAAAGTAGAGTTTAGATTTTTAGATAAATAATAAATAAATAATTGAATATTTATTATTCATTCATTCATCTTCTTTTCGGCTTAGTATCTTTATTACACCGGGTTCGCCACAGCGGAATGAACCGCCAACTTATCCAGCACATGATTTATGCAGCGGATGCCCTTCCAGCCGCAACCCATTGGATAAATTTGAGATGAAAGATGTCACTTTCAAGTAAATGACATTATTACAAATTACAGTATTTCAAGGGTCCTTATAAGGGTCTTGATATCAACATTTTCCCCTACAATACTACAATACTATATTGTAAAATACTATAACAAACAACATCTCATACAGTATGGTGCGGTAGTATGTAAACATTTAATGTACCACAGTTTTAAAGTGCTGTAAAAGTTTGAAAATACACCAGAAAAGTACCTAAAAATGCTTAAATTTGACTTTGGATAACGTTTAAGGACCCTGAAAGTAACACTTCAAGTTATATTTTGAGTGAATTAAATATGGAATAGGTGGCATGGTGGCTCAGTGGTTAGCACTGTCATCTCACAGCAAGAAGGATGCTGGTTCGAGCCCCGGCTGGGCATCCGCCACGTAAAACATATGCTGGATAAGTTGGCAGTTCATTCTACTGTGGCGACCCCTGATAAATAAGGGACTAAAGCCGAAAGAAAATGAATGAATAAATGTGGAATTTATTTGTAGTTTACGTTTTCTTTTTTTCCATATAAATGTTGCTGAAGCTGGAGTTTGACAGGAAGGTGGACATGGAATGGACTTGTCTTGCACTTGAGTTTCAATGGTGTCCATTGTGAAACGAGTCTCTTCCATTCTGTCCTAGTCAGACGCGCTTTTGTTTTGGAACTTTTTGTCATCTGCAACTCATGAACATAATAATCTGTTAAACAGTAACAAATGATTGCTTTGTCAAAGCATTATCACCACTAAACAGAACATGAGGCTCAGTGAGAGAATGATTGTGCTGGAAAATAGGGACGAGTACATAAACATACCTGAATACTTTAACCAACAGGATAACAGACATCACCTGATTATCACCATCAACATCATCTACATCATCATCATCATCATCATCATCATCATCATCATATTATTATTATTATTATTATTATTACTATTATTATTATTATTATTATTATTATTATTATTATTATTATTATTATTATTATTATTATTATTATTATTATTATTATGCCCAGCAGGGAGCATCTCTCAAATTTTATCAATAGTAAATATTTTTTTTTAAAGATTTTAATTCTAAATGTGTATTTCAAATGGGCTAAATGTAACTACTATAGTGATTCTATACTAGTGTTTTTGAATAATACTAAAGTTGAATTCATATATGGATAATAATTACAATTCCGTCTATTTAAATATATGTAAAAATATTTAAATATTTGATTATGGCTTCTTTATTTATTTATTTTTACACTTTTTTTATGCATACGAGTCAAATTTCATGTCATGTATAATATTTTGTAGGCCTAAATAACATGAAACATGAAATGTATTGTGTGTCTCTCTCTCTCTCTCACACACACACACACACACACACACACACACACACATATATATATATATGTGTGTGTGTGTGTGTGTGTGTGAGAGAGAGAGACAATACATTTCAATCTTTTACATAGATGTGACTATATTGCACTATAGTTGGAACAACTATAGTATAATAAACAAATTACCCAATACTGTTTTCTACAACTACTACTAAACATTACACTACACCACGGTTTAGTAAATATTTAAGTATGCTATTTATCACTAATATTACACTATGCTGTAGTGTTGTAAATACTAATATACACTTCACTACAGTATGGTTCAAACATCATGTACTAATTAAATTACTATAGTATTTTTTTTCATGTAGGAAGAAATAATTTTTCCCGGTTTTTTTACTTGACGTTACGAACGTTACACCAACGTGGCATCCTTATGCTTGTTAGCTTTTGTTTACTAGGTTACCAATACTACTGTCAGCTGCTTTTACAATCTGATGGTAACGCAACTATTTAGAATTATGCTTGCTTTGTTTACTTTTGGTTGCTAGGTTACCAATACTACAGTTAGCTGCTCTTACATCTTGACAGAAACACAACTAATTGTAATCATGCTTGCCTTGTTTGCCTTTGGTTGCTAGGTAACCAATATTATAGTCAGCTGCTTTTAATCCGATGGAAATTTAAACTAGTTTTAATTGTGCTTGCCTTGTTTACTTTTGGTTGCTAGGTAACCAATACTACAGTCATCTGCTTTTATAATCTGATGGAAATACATCTAATTTGAATTGTGCTTGCCTTGTTTTTTTTGTTTGCTTGGTAACCAATACTACAGTCAGCGGCTCTTACAACTTGATGGAACTCGTTTGAATTAGGGATTTTATTTTTCTTTTTTTTGCAAACTTTGTAAAGATGTGCTTCATGTGCTTTCATTAATGACTGTAATGTTAAGCTAGTCTTGGACCACATGTGAAAGCCATCATATTTAAATAGATTATGTTAACACCTTACTAAACTTTTTGCGCTTCATTTTCAGGTGATGATTTTGATCACGGGGGCTCACAAGGCCTTTGCCCTGTATAAAGCCATCGAGGAGGGGGTGAACCACATGTGGACGGTCTCTGCCTTCCAGCAGCATCCACGGACCATTTTTATTTGCGATGAAGATGCAACGCTGGAGCTCAGGGTCAAAACCGTGAAGTATTTTAAAGGTATGTAACCGAGGACTTGCCTGCCCAAGGGGCAAATCTTTGACTTGCTCCTCTGTAAAAGCAGATTGCTTGAAGAGTAAAGCACCAGCAAACAGTCTCTTTATTAAAACACACGGTCAGAGGTAAACCAGTAACATGTTAAACTTAAAATGTACAATTTTACAGGAATTTAATTAGTGAGACGTTGACTGTTTTGATGCTGGGTAAATCCCAAAGGAGGTTTTAGTCATTGTTTTGTATGGGAACAACTATAGTAATAAAAATAAATTACCCAATACTGCTCTATTTTCTTCAACTATAAATGTTACAGTACACCAGTTTACTGTAGTGAAAACTTAAGCATACTACACTATTTATTGCATTATTATTTTTAGGCTTGACAAACAAACTCTGATGTAGATAACGTTACACCCATGTGGCTCCATTATGCTTGTTTACTGTTGGTTGCTAGGTTACCAATACTACAGTCAGCTGCTCTTACAACTTGATGAAAATGCAACTAATTTGAATTAGCAATTTTTATTTTAATTTATTTATTTTTTGCAAACTTTAGGAAGATTTGCTTCATGTTACGTTTTGTGACTGTAAAGTTAAGGTGTACTTTTGGGCCATATGTGAAACCCACCATCTTTAAATTGATCATTTTAACACATTGCTTATAGGGATGCTGATAATAACCGATTCACTGTTAACCGAAGGGTGTGTTTTTAACTGATTAAAGGTATCAGTTAAACAATAAAAAAATTATTATTATTATATTTTTTAATAACTGAAGGAAAAAAATAACCAATTTTATTTTTTAATAACCGATTCACAGTTAAACGTATGGTGTTTTTTAAACCGATTAACGGTATCAGTTAAACAATAAAAAAAGTTATTATTTATTTTTTTAATAACCTATTGAAAAAAAAATAACCAATTTTATTTTTTAATAACCAATTCACGGTTAACTGTATGGTGTGTTTTTTTTAACCGATTAACGGTATCAGTTAAACGAGTAAAAAATATTAATTATTCATTTTTTAAAAATAGCCGATTAAAAAAAATAACCGATAAAATTTTTTAATAACCAATTTACAGTTAACCGAAGAGTGCGTTTTTAACCGATTAACGGTATCAGTTAAACAATTTTAAAAAAATTATTATTATTTTTAATGACAGATTCACCGTTAATTGAATGGTGTGTTTTTAACCAATTAACGGTATCAGTTAAACGATTAAAAATATTATTATTATTATTTTTAATAACAGGTAAAAAAAATTACTGTTTTAAAATGTAAAAAATGTTAAATTTAATTTTTTTAATTTTAAAAACGTAAAAAATTTTACCGTTTAAAATTTTTTTTAGAACCGATTCACCGTTAACCAAAGGGTGCGATTTTAACAGATAATTGGTATCAGTTAAATAACAAAAAATATTATTATTATTATAAAAAAAATAAATAACCGATTAAAAAAAAATAACCGAAACATTATTAAGCATGTCTGGGGTAAGATGGAGAAGGCATTGAACACTTTCTTTGCCATTTTAGATGATAAGTGATTTGAGTCATTGCAGAGATGTATGGATGCAGTCCTCCAAGCTCATGATGGAGTCAGACACAATATTCATTCTGTTTCCACTGCAGACTTTATATCAGGGGTCTCAAACTCAATTTACCTGGGGGCCGCAGGAGGCAAAGTCTGGGTGAGGCTGGGCCGCATAAGGGATTTCACAAAAAAAAGTCCTCAAATGTCATTATTAACAGTTTTAATTATTTCTTCTGAACATGAAGTGTCCTGAACATTAATAAAACATTGAGTGAAGATTATGAACAGTTCTTCCGAACATGGCATCTTTTGCCTACTTCTTGCTGCCAGAGACTAGACAGCGCTTCTTCTCACAAATCTGAACCACATTTGGCTTTAGAGCGGAAGCAGTTGAGACCCTCAGTATGGCTTGAAGATGATCATCATTAAGTCTAGACCTGTACTTTGACTTATTGAAGTCCTAGGGAAAAAAGTGGCGGAACTCACCCAAAACTTCCATTCCCTCACCTAAAAAAAGGCGTATATATGTATAAATAAAACACCCCCACCCCACTCCAGTCACATCAGTCTGTACCAGTCTGTATCTACCCATAATAAGATGCAGGGCAGGCACGTGCACACATAGGGCTCAACCTGTGCAGTGCACATGCCCTTTTTAGTCTTGCATAGAAAGTGCCCTTCCAAAATGATCAAAAGTGCCCCCGCGACGCGACACACCCTCGGTCCCGCCCTTCAGTAGGCGCGCGATAACACCGCTCTTGAGTACGCGCGCGACAACACAGCTGATCAGAACGCGCGACAACGCGCATTGAGTGACAAGTGCGCTGTGTACGGATAGAATCAGCGGAGCGGGGAGCGCTCTCTCTCCCCGCTCCGCTGATTCTGTCAGAGTACAGCGGTCGGCGCGGGCCACAAAATATTGCACTGAAGGCCGCAAATGGCCCGCGGGCCACGAGTTTGAGACCCCTGCTTTATATTCTATACTGGACATTATGAGTGTTAAGTGAGAAGACTTTTGTCTAAGCTAAGTCAAACCTTACTGTCCTAATTAAATAAATAAAAATCAAGCCATGATCATATTTTATTTGGGTAAAATAAGTGTAATCTAGAGACCTTTGCCTTTCATATAAGCCACTTCTGATATCAAATGATCAACTAGAAGTGAAGTTATTATTTGTTGTTCCTAAAACTTGGAAAGTGTCAAGACTTTTGTAGGTAGTGTATGACACTAAAGAATAAAGTATGTAGAAAAGATTGTAATTAAAAAAGGGGGATGGGGCTACACTATGTCCCGCCCCTCTCTTCATCTTTCAGTTGAGATTACGTCAAACATCAAATAAAAATTCACACTTCTTGGGACTTTTAAAATGTAATTTTCACAATATTTATGTGTATTTATCAGTATTTTTTTATCAAATAAAAATAGGCTTGGTTAGCTTATTTTAAAAATAATAAAAACTTCTAAACCTGGTGTCAACAGGTACATTTTTCCAACAATATCACCAGCAAACACTCTTCCACCATCTCTGACCTCTTTAAACAATACACTCAATCTAGTCTCTTTCCTCCAACTCAGCAGCTGTTTGTTTGCTTTTCATCCCTTTTTTTTCGTCTTCCTCATGGTTTTATTTCAGTTTTAGTGTTTGGCTGCTCTCAGGGTCAATATCTGTCTGAAGACGGCTGCAGATTCGAGATCTAAACCCCGTCTGGAATGTCCATCACAAGTGCTTTCCTCTGATACACACAATCTGTCGGCTCTTAAGGGCTTTGGTCTCTCCTGGGGGTTTAATATCTCTTTGGCTGGGCTGGATTTCCTAAACATACTGACGGATCTTCTTGTCCTACAGGCCTGATGCACGTCCACAATCAGCTAGTGGAACCGACGCTCAGCGTGAAGGACTACATGGATTAATAAATGGCTGAAATCGCAACAACATTGATGTGAATGAGTGATGACTGGCCTCGGGGACCACAGCAGTCTTAATGTGTTTATAAGTCTACACCAGCATAACAGGTAGACGTCGTGCCATATTCACCCACTCCAGTTGAAAGCCTTTGGGGTTCATTTGTAGGCCAGCGTATAAAGGGATCGTCAGATACACTCTTTCTTTCTTTACGTCTCCTGTTTTGGATGACGCTACAACAGTCCTTGAATCACTAATTAAAAAAAACTAATCTGTTACACTCCCTGTTTTCATTCTGAGAAAGTGCATCTGTCATTAAATCTGTACTGTAGTTTAAAGGAACAATCTACTTTTTTTTTGGAGGGAGAAATCCTTTATAAATCCAAGTCCATTACAGTTAAATAGTTGAGTTTTACCATTTTTAATCCATTCAGTCAATCTCTGAGTCTTGCAAAAGCAATTTTAGCTTAGCATAATGCATTGAATTGGATTAGACCATTAGCATGTTTTCATTTTACAAATTTATTAGAGTTAAATAGTAGAGTTTTACCATTTTTAATCCATTCAGCCAATCTCTGAGTCTTGCAAAAGCACTTTTAGCTTAGCATAATGCATTGAATTGGATTAGACTATTAGCATGTTTTCATTTTACAAATTTATTAGAGTTAAATAGTTGAGTTTTACCATATTTAATCCATTAAGCCGATCTCTGAGACTTGCAAAAGCACTTTTAGCTTAGCATAATGCATTGAATTGGATTAGACCATTAGCATCTTTATATTTTACAAGTTCATTAGAGTTAAATAGTTGAGTTTTACCATTTTTAATCCATTTAGCCAATCTCTTGAGTCTTGCAAAAGCAATTTTAGCTTAGCATAATGCATTGAATTGGATTGGACCATTAGCATGTTTTCATTTTACAAGTTTATTAGAGTTAAATAGTTTAGTTTTACCATTTTTAATCCATTAAGCCGCTCTCTGAGTCTGGCGGAAACACTTTTAGCTTAGCATAATGCATTGAATTGGATTGGACCATTAGCATGTTTTCATTTAACAAGTTCATTAGAGTTAAATAGTTGAGTTTTACCATTTTTAATCCATTCAGCTGATCTTTTGGTCTGGCGGAAGGACTTTTAGCTTAGCATAATGCATTGAATCGGATTAGACCATTACCATCTTTTCATTTTACAAGTCCATTACTGGCAAATACTTGAGTTTCACAATTGTTATCCATTCAGCTGATCTATTGGTCTTGCGGAAGCACTTTTAGCTTAGCAAAGCAAAATGCATTGAATCAGATTAGACCATTAGCATCTTTTCATATTTCAAGTCCATTACAGTTAAATAGTTAAGTTTTACCATTTTTAATCCATTCAGCTGATCTCTTGGTCTGGCGGAAGCACTTTTAGCTTGGCTTAGCATAATGTGGTAAATCGGATTAGACCATTAGCATCTTTTCATTTCACAACTCCTCCACAGTTAAAGAGTTGAGGTTTACAATTTTTGAGGGCATTTAGACAGTCTTTAGGTCTAGCGGGAGCACTTTTAGCTTAGCATAGATCATTGACTCGGATTAGACCATTAGCATCTTGCCAAAAAAATCTATTTTTCACTAAATGATGTGAACATTCCTAAATGTTCTTCCTATAGTCAAGTGTGTGTTTATGGATTCAGGCTTAACACTAAATAATATTCAAAAATGACCCGGATAGTCAATTATTTCCGGTTGAAATTTCAAGTGCAGTGGCCTACTTAATAGACCTACTTAAAGTAACACTTTCCTTTTTTGGAAATAGAATTATTTTACTATTAAGCTAGAGGTAAATGGTTTAGTTTCATGGGGTATGGCAGGAACACTTTTAGCTTAGCTTAGCATAAATCATGAAATCAAATTAGACCATTAGCATCTCGCTTAAAAAAATAAAAATAATAATGTCTTGATCATTTTTCTATTTAAAACTGGACTCTTCTCTTGACATATTATGTACTAAAACAGATGAAAAATGAAAAGTTGCTATTTTCTTTGCTAATAGGCTAGGAACTACACTCTTATTCTGGCATAATAATCAAGGGACTATGCTGACGTATCATAGTTGCATTTGAAAATAGTCCCTAACTTGGTAACAATGTTGCATCAAGCTTTAAATAGTAAAATCATTGACATGCTAATGGTCTAATCTGATTCAATGCATTATGCTAAACTAAGCTAAAAGTACTACAACCAGACTCAGAGATCGGCTGAATGGATTAAAAATGGTAAAAATCGACTATTTAACTGTTATGGACTTGTAAAATAAAAAGATGCTAATGGTCTAATTTGATTTAATGCATTATGCTAAGCTAAGGTAAAAATGCTACCGCCAGACCAAAAAAATCAGCTGAATGGTTTAAAAATGGTAAAACTCAATTATTTAACTGTAATGGACTTCTAAAATAAAAAAGATGCTAATGGTCTAATATGATTTAATGCATTATGCTAAGCTAAGCTAAAAGTGCTTCTGTCAAACCAAGAGATCATCTGATTGGATTAAAAATTGTAAAAATCAACTATTTAACTAATGGACTTGCAAAATGAAAAGATGCTAATGGTCTAATCCAATTCAATGTATTATGCTAAGCTAAGCTAAAAGTGCGTCTGTCAAACCAAGAGATTGGCTGAAAAGATTAAAAATGGTAAAAATCAACTATTTAACTGTAATGGACTTGTAAAATAAAAAGATGCTAATGGTCTAATCTGATTTAATGCATTATGCTAAGCTAAGCTAAAAGTGCTTCTGTCAAGCCAAGAGATCGGCTGAATAGATAAAAAATGGTAAAACTTAATTATTTAAATGTAATAGACTTGTAAAATAAAAAAGTGGAGTGTTCCTTTAAGCAGGAAATACCGAAGGTCAAAATTGCAAGCCAAACATCTGTTTTCACTGATGATGCTCGTTTTTTATTGCACAGGAATTTACTTTGAGGTTGTTTTGAATTGGTAGCACTGCAGTAAGGTTCTATTAAAGTTAATGTATTTAGTAAAATTAAATAAACAATGCATTTATTACAGTATTTACTCATTGTTTTAAACTTTAGTTAAAGAACATAAAGTCATTCATCGTTAGTTAACTCACAGCGCATTAACGAATGTTAACAAGCACATCTTTGGATTTCCATAATGTATTAATCAAACTATAGAAAACGAATGCAGCACAAATATTTTCATTTCGAGTTGATGTCAGTGAATACATTAACTGATGGAACATTATTGTAAAGTGTGCCCTTCATTTTTTTGGTAAACCTTTTGTTTAAGGATCTATCTCTGTTTAAATGAGACCTTACAGATTGATTAGACATCATATTTGATAAATACAAGCTGTGGTGGCTGATCTGTGATCAGATGTTCCGACTTTAAAATGTTTTAGTAGTATAGTGACATTTTATACAACTTCAAGCACATTTTGTTGCTTTTAATTGAATCCAGGTTACTTGCCGCATGCAAAACCAGTAAAAGAAAGCAGATGAAGCAGTGTTTGTCTTGTTTGCTTGCATTTAAATTGGTTTTAGCACATCTAATTAGAGAAGTGTTCGTTTTGCATTTAACCATTTTCCCTCATATGATGATGTGCTGTACTGTATTCTCTTTAGTTACTGTACTTTGTGATATACAAATGGTTACTCATAATGTATATATTTCATCTCACATTGTGGCTTTTCTTTCTGGTGTTTCTAAACCCTCCTGTTCTGTACTTCAATGAATGTTCATGAGGAGGAAAATACACATTTTTTTATGCATTTACATGTTTACTTCAAATAAACTCTTAAAGGAAATGTAAACCGACTGTTAAACTGGATTTACACTCCAAAATCCAAATCCTCCTCTTTCTGTATTTTTTAATTAAAGAATAAATAAAGGTTTGTTTTATCGTCGCCCAGTAATTCACTGTAGTTTGTATGAGCAAAATGAATCTTCCTATTATGGAGGTCAGTTCGTGCCAGCAACCAGCATTCTTCAAAATACCTTCCTTTGTGTTCTTTCCTAATATGGAAGAAAATTTGTGCCAGCAACCAACATTCTTCAAAGTATCTTCTTTTCTGTTCTTTCCTAATCTGGAAGTCAGTGTGAACCAACAACCAACATTATATCTTCTTTTTTTGTACTTTCCTACTAATGTTGTGAACGTATCAGCAACCAACAGTCTTCCCTTCAAAATATCTTCTTTTAGTGTATTATCCTACTATGAAAGAGAATACTACAGAGTGCTGTTGCATTCATTAACAAAGTTGTAGATACTGCAAAATATACAGTATAATACAGTTTATTATAGTTAGTATGGTTCAAAAACGTAATATTGTTTACTATAAATACTATTACAACTTTTTATTTCATGTGGGTTGAATCGTATCTTTAGAACCATATAACATGATTGAAAGCAGCTCCTAGATAACTCATAACTGTTTTCTTATATAAGAAACAAACAAGAGAAGCACCCAGCACAGTCCTTAGCTTAGCTAACAGTATTGACCATATAGATAATTATTAAAAAATCATAACTTACCCTCTGATTGCTCGAGGCCTCCAACAACGTGAGCTGCCCTGTGTGCTGACAAACAGAAACGCCCCATCTCATTGGCTGGCTCTAGCCAATAAACTGGCTTTGCTGCTCTTTTACTGGTATGTACATTACAGTAGAATTTATGATTTTTAACAAGAATCTCTTCAGAAACGAGTTTAAATAAACCCTAACTAATGAAATAATCGTGGGAAATTATTATTTTGCACCTCAGTCCTGTTGGCTGCTGGCATTGTTCATTGGTCAGGCATCAGCCAATCAAACAGCTTTACACCTGCCCCGCCCCTCGCTGCTCACGCCTCTGCATCTGCGAGTGCACAGATGAGTTCTGCTACAGAGATCGCGGGAGATGTGTAGCAAAAGTCAGAGTGCGGGAGATTTGTAGTTGTACTGACGAATCTGAGAGGTTGTGAGTGCCGACCTGGGGTTGTAGAGCGAAGATGCAGTCAAATTTGCCGTGCACACGTGTGTCTGTCACTTTGTATTTGTGAATGACATTTTACAAATACACAACTATTAATCTGCAACTTCCAATTTAAAACACAAGTGTGTTGATTGTTGTGTGTGTGTGTGCAAATCGAGGATTTCAGCTGTTCACATCAGAGCTGTAAGTGTACATTTCAACCTACACATACAAATATTATTATCACAAGTGCTCACATTTACATTTGCAAGCTCTCGAGTTTCGCAACTGATTTACCTTTATATTATCATCTGCTTATGTC